GCTGCATGCAGGTTCCCGGGCAGTTAGCCCCGGCAGCACTCGTTAGTTCCAAGGTTCTTGGAAAGGCAGATTACAACTAGATCGGGGGGCCTAGGGAAAGCCAATGCCAACTACGCAGGCCTCTCTCTGTCCTGAGATGCAGAGGTCGTTGTGCAAAGGCTGGAGTGTCGTGCCTCGGTATCGCTTTGCATCGCGGAAGTAGGCTCCAATGACGAAAGTTCGTCAGGCAAATAAACTTCCTCCGTCGCACGTTGTTACCCACATGGCTTGGGCTCTCTCCCTCGTTCCCCCCTCATCAAGCCCGCAGCAGTCTCCCAATCAAACAAGTGGGGCCGTCTTCCGGCCTTGATCCTTTGCATCCTTCGATCCCCTGCGGCCTAAGCGTCTGCGCCTTATCTGGGCTCTGTCGATGGTTTCTGTACCATGACATGAGCGCGCGACAAGGGTACAAGGGTTTTACGTTCGCACCGAAAGTCAAAGATGGGATGGGTAAGGCTCGGATACCACCGCGAAAGAGGTAACGGGGGCATCAAGCGATCTTCATCCTTCATTTCTTTTTTTCGTCCAAAGTTGGCCAGCTTCATGCCTGATTCATTTCTAACGTTGCGCTTTGGATACTAGGGACCGTTTTGGGGGCACTGTTCGCTTCATTAATTTGTTGTTGGGGCTTTCTCTCTCTTGGGTATTACTATTACGAGGTGAAGCCTGCGCTGCGCTGCCTCTTCATTTTTTGGTTCTTGGTATTTTGGACTGTCGACGACAACGCTGCCTTGACACGAGTCGTCAATCCTTCGCGCGACATCTTTTCTTGTTTCTGTGCCGTGGTTTACTTTTCGTCGGACCTGAGCGAGAAACGTTACCCATTCCGACTGCGATTCCGACCGCGAATTACAAGGACCTTGCGATCATATTTCTGGGCCGAAGTGATAGGATCCCATCTGGGTAGCAGGAAAAGGAGTGTTTGGTTTAGGGAGGCGATTTGCGTCAAGCGCATTCACGAGCATAGACAACTCGAAACCGACGCGGTTACGACCCAATTATCCGTTGCGCGGAAATCGCATACGTCTCAGGAACCAAAGCAGTTCGCATCAGGGCAACGCAAGAGGAGGACACAATGGACGAGAACAACAGGATAACAATCACGGTGTGTGGGGATGGAGGCTGTGGTATGTGCGATTCAAAGTCGGACTTGAAGCATTGAGACGCTGACTTGGTTACAGGAAAAAGTTCGATTACACTACGGCTTGTGAGGAGTCAATGGACATCTGAGTACGATCCTACGATAGGTATGTTGCCTTGCGCCTATGCTCGTCGCATCTGGCCTCACATAACTAATACTCCTCTAGAAGACTCCTACTCCGTAACTCGAACCATCGATGGAGTCCCCTACTACCTCATGCTCACCGACACCGCGGGCCAAGAAGAATACCGGGGTCTCTGGGCAGCTTCGAACCTACAGTCCGACGCGTTCCTCCTCGTTTACGACATAACATCTGCCAACTCGCTCGACGCGCTAGATTACTTCATGGAGATGATAGAAATGGAGACAGAAAATCGATTAGACAATGGCAAGATACCACCGATCAAGTGCGTAGTAGGCAACAAGTGCGATTTACAAGGGCAAAGAGTCGTAGAGGCAAAAACAGGTCTCGAGTGGGCGAGACGAAGAAAGTGTGGCTTCATGGAAACGAGTGCGAGGGAGATGGTCAACATCGAAGAGACTTTTGCTTGTAAGACAACTCTGTCGCAACTATATTGCGCAAAAGACAATGTGAGAGGGAGAGGAATTGGAACAAGGCTTGCTAACGTTTATCAAAGTACTCGTACGTCGCGTGGTAGAAGCACGCCGGCTTACTGCTGGAGACGGTCCTGCGAATCGAACTGCCGCTCTGCCTCTTCACTCGAACCCGAACCGAGACCCAAATGACTATGCGGCCCATACACAGAATGAAAAGGATAGCGAGGATGAGCCGAAACAGAGCTTTTGGAGGAAGCTCAAGTGCTGGTAGTCACATTGAATGTTTCTACGCATTACGATTGGCCTGAGATGTTGCATGGGGCATGCAAAATAATCTTGCGTCTTCTCTACACGCTTTGTCTGGATAACAGCAAAAATGTCGCGAGAGGTTCCTCTAGACTCGTTGGTAGTCTGTTGTGTTCTCCTGTTGAACTCGGAGAAGCTTGCTCGACCCTTCTCTTTATCTCCTTGTCTGTATATATGTGTCGATGGGATAGGCGTAAAGCATTCGTATACGCATTGCATGGAAACGCCGATTAGCGCAAATCGGGGATCATGGGATATACTGGGTGGCTATCTGAGTTTTTGGTCATTTTCACAGCGTTTCAAGTCTTGCGTCTGCATCTTTCCTTAAACCGCTATCTATGTTCATGTCGAAACTGGAATGATACTGTTACAATTCAATGGTGGTGACAAGAATACTGTCGCCAATGGAACCGCTGTAGTATGGCAAAATAGTGCAAAAAGATGACCACTTTGAGGCATGGGATGCAGCTAACCATCGGCTATCCAAGGACATTGCTAGCGCGTCTGTGCGCAAGCACGCCATTGGCTTTTGGAGCCTTTGCATGGCTTTGAACGACCTCGCAGTAGCTGTGAGTCGCGATTTTGAACAACAACTTTACAAGGAAATTTTCCATCTCTTGGTGCTCACGCAAGGAGCGCATACGGTGCCTTGAAAGTTGGTGACGTCGTAATTACCCCTCTATCAGGTCCGTGTCTACTCCGATAAGAGAGCAACAAGCAAAAAGAGCCATTAGAGACACGGAAAGCGCGGAGGGCAGAATGTCAAAGCCTCACATTGAGCACGAGGAGCCCGTTCAGGACGGTCTCTCCCGGACACTCAAGGATCTCTTCGCAGGTGCAGTAGGAGGAGTCGCACAGGTACTTTCATTATTGCGCCAGTTCTCCACCCAAACTGAACCTCATTTTCTAGGTACTCATTGGACAACCTTTTGACATCGTCAAGGTAAGTTGTGTTTGTACGAAATGCATGTGAGACATACACTGACTTCGTATCTCCACACCTATAGGTCAGGTTACAAACAACATCACAATACTCTGGTGCCTTGGATGCTGCGACCAAAATCTACCAAAATGAAGGAGCACTTGCTTTCTACAAGGGTACGCTGACACCACTCATCGGAATCGGAGCTTGTGTATCTGTTCAATTCGGTGGCTTCCATTACGCGCGACGTGCCTTTGAAGCTAGCAATGAGGCAAAAACCGGAAAAGGCCAACTCTCGTACTCACAGTATTATGCCGCTGGTGCTTTCGCCGGTATCGCCAACACCGCTCTGTCTAGTCCTATCGAGCACATCCGCATAAGACTGCAGACACAGCCGCACGGCGCGAATCGCCTCTATGCCGGCCCAATCGACTGTGTGCGTAAGCTCACTGCACACCAAGGCATCCTCGGCGGCGTTTACCGCGGCACAGCTGTGACATTCATGCGCGAAGCCCAAGCTTACGGCTGTTGGTTTACTGCATTCGAGTACATGATGAATGCAGATGCTGCGCGCAACAACATCGACCGTTCGGAAATTTCTACTCTAAAAGTTGCGGCTTATGGTGGACTCGCTGGTGAAGTGCTTTGGATAAGCAGTTATCCGTTCGATGTGATCAAGAGCAAGATGCAGAGTGATGCGTTTGGCAAGGAACAGAAGTACAAGAGCATGAGAGACTGCTTCGCGAAGACATATAGGGGAGAGGGCCTGGGTGGCTTCTGGAGGGGTATTGGACCGACTCTGTTGAGAGCTATGCCTGTATCTGCGGGTACATTCGCCACGGTCGAGGTAACGATGCGACTCATTAGTTAAGGAAGAACAAGACTCTGCACCGAGTTCGGTAAATCGGCGATGCTGGAGCTCTGTACGATAAGCCCTGCAAATAAGACCAAGGAACACGGCGGTTCTGAAGGATGCCTTGGGCGATCTATCACACACGCCCACAGAGAGCACGATCCGAAAAGGGTCTGTAGCATCTACCGTGGAGAGAGCGGCCGATATGCATGTGCGACGCAATTGACTTCGTACTGTTCCAACAATGGCTAGTTACGGCGTGAATACGACCGCGATTGTGTCTATCGTTCTTGCTCCATAACATATTGTATGGCATCGCACCCAGCAAGCCTGAAAGCTATCTTGTTTTGTCACTGAGCCAGCCCCAAGGCACTTTCCTGACCCTCATCGTGTGCCCTGCCTCGTAGCGCTTTCCAATACCATGCTGACCACCTGGGAAGAACCTAATGGTCTAGATGCGGCACGCTCTCGGATGCAATTTCGCTGCTTCTTATGCATTACGTCGGGTACCGACATACCCCTGTCGCTACGTTGCCGTGCCGCTTCCCCCCCAAGCTCATGCCACAACTGCAAGCCACACGAAATGAGCACAGAGTTGATGGATCACTCTTGAAATTGCATAGCCATCTCATATCTGTACGGCCGGGGTCCCCGGGAGTAGTACTGCAGATGCCGCTGCGCCGCTGCGAACATGTGGGTGTGTCACTTGGACCAACAGCCGCGCCGAACTATAACTGCTCCCAGTCCAAGCCGTTTGTGAAAGAAGCTGTCTCGAGTCTGAATAGACTTTCCATCAAGTTCCAAAGACCTGGTTCAATCATGAGGCATTACCGAGGAACTACCGGCTGGGTCAAGAACGCTATTCTGCGGCGCAGCCCGCATCGTTCATCGACCGTTACGCAAGGGATTACCATTTTTGGCTAGAGATGCAACTCATCCGAAATCATGGGGAAATCCCTTGTGATATCAACGCATGCGATATCTTCCCACGCGCTCTTCGATCGCTTTCTTCAATTTCCCAACCTACATACATACCCTCGTCAATCATCCCTAACATCGAAGAAGAAAAAAGCCTACGAGTCAAATCACGATTACGATCGCCTCAGACAACACGCGCAAGATGGGGTTTGGCACAACACTGAAGAAATGGAAATCCACTTTTAGCCCTGCAAAGCTGTCTACTCAGCCAGATAGATTGTCACAACACACACAATCTGAAGAAGACCTAGTTTCCATGCAATTACCGTTACCGCGGTACAATGCACAGCTCCATTCACATTCCGAAGCGGCGCTTCATCGACCAACAAGTCAAATTGTATGTCACTCGCCATTAGACAAGAGGAACCGCGCTGGAAAAGGGAAGAGTAGAAGGAACAAGGATGATCAGAGTGAAAGAGGGGGTGGAGAGAATAAGAGGCGTACGACCACTACGAAAGTACTGTTCTCCTCCACACAATTTGATACGGTGAATGTGAAGAAGTCTGCATGATGGGTGCCAAATGACTACATTGATGGGCTTTCGACGGCTTATTCTCAAAAGAGTAGTCAGGGCAGGGGACGGGAAGAACAAGTTGAAACTGGTGGCGATATCTGGAATCCAAATCGGTATAAACCACTACACTGGCGCGGACAGGAAATGAGCCAGCAAAAGAAGGACGAGGCGGGTGTGCACTCAAGCTGCTGACACGACTCTTTTGGGCTTCTCTCGTTCGATCGTGCTACTCTCTTCCATCCCTCTTACAAATTTCACTTGTTACTTGTTTATTCAAGAGATTAAGAAGAGATCACCAATAACTCTCAAGAATCCCTCTTTTGTATTTAAACTAAATCCTGGCAGCATTCAGTGTCCGTTATCTACTTCAAAGCTGCTCGTGTAGCATGTCCGGGTAGAAGGCATGAGCTTTCGTGAAGGCCTCGAACCATGATGGCCATAATATCATATATGAAAAAATAACCTGTTGACTCCACCTGTAATCTTCCATGAGCGCAACATGCCCTTGCACCAATACATGAACCAGCTTCTCCATTTGAAGACCACATGATGCTAAGAGACATAGCAGTACGTACGCCTCAAAGGCACCTGGTACATCCGACCCCTTTTGGCGAGCGACTAAAGCAGATATGGGTGACTGGACTTTTGATAAGCTGGTCTAGTCTCGACGTAGGGCCTACAGCCACCCCACCCTCCTTCCAATGATGCTCACGCCTCCGAGCGCAGCACTGATTCCCGTCCAAACTACCAAACTACCATATGGCGTCCCATACAAGCCATGATCACCAACATTGCCCATCTTCAACAGTGCTTCACTGACCGGCCCACTCACAACATTACCTATACCCCTACCCATTGACAAGAAAGAGAAGACCATAGAGCTTTCCATCTGACCCGTACTCATTTGCACTGTCCTCAGGATGCCAGGCCAGGTATTGGTGAAGCTGCCCGCGAAGAGACCATACATGAAGCAGAATATGAGCAGCGGCGGTAGAGAGGTGCTGAAGCCCCAGATCAAGAAGACAGAAAGCATAGCACCGATGGTGGAGATGAGAATGGCAGTGGTGACGTGCGTCCGATCCACAATACTCCCCATGCTAATGGATCCGATGACGGCAGCCATATTTATGAGGATAATGGGCAGAGCGGAAACCGCACTGCTGAAACCGAGGGTCTTCGTATATGTAGGAAGATAGATGGAAGGCACAAAAAAACCTAGTCCCTGCATGATATTTCCAAATTGCAGGATCCAAAAAGACCTGTTTGTTAGGAAAGTGAAAGTAATGCGAGACCTAGTCGTTGCTGGGACGGGAAGTCGGGGCTTCAAAAAGAAGGTGAGAGGCAAGCCAACGACGAAAAGCACGATCGTCCATATGCGCAGCGCGGTGCGAAAGCCGTAATGATTGAGCAGAAATTGGAGTAAGAGCGGAATGAGGATACCGCCTAACCCTGTACCAGCCCACATGATGCCGAATGCAAGACCCTTGCGTCTTACAAACCACTCGTCCAGGAAAGTGACGACAGGACTGTATGTGACGGCGCCACCGATACCATAAAGGATGCCTTGGGTGACGATAAGTTGTGGTACGGTCGTGCAGAGTGAGCTCAGTCCAAGCGAAAGACACATGATAAACAAGCCTGCAACCATTGCGTTCCTCTTGTAATGTGGCCAACGTATGAGTGATCCGAATGTGAAAGGTGCGACCATATAGAGTATGCCCATCGCGGATGTTCCGATAGCTGGGATGCCGGATGCGCCCGAGAAGGGTAGCGATGAGCTATAGTACTCCTGGAAGATACCGTATGACCATGGAAAACCTGATCAAATGTTAGTTGAGTACCCAAGTACGTCTAGTAGCGCTGCAAGTGGATAACCGTGGCCTATGAAGTGTAATGCTTACCCCACACCATCATCTCTATCACAAATGCAGCCGCAAGAAACAACCAAGCGTCTTTTCCGCCATCGGTTGGAGGCAGCAATGTTTCGTTCTCAGGCTCGTCGTTCCATCTTGAGCTTGTTTCCAGCTCAAAGCGCGATTGGTTGTCGGGTGTGGTGCTCACAAGGGCTGATTGAGACCTAGTCGCCATGTGTGTATTGGATAGAGCCTCTGCGGAGTTTTTTACCTCTGGAGAAACTGAGTGCAGATGACCTGAACCATGTGTAATAAGTAACGTGTCTGTCATATGATCTCAACAAAAACACATGGCAAGTATTCGATAACAGTTTCGCCGAATGAAGCTCTCCCCCACCACACAAGAAAGCTGGGTTGTTGGGCTCTAATCCAGGAAGAGAAACTCGATCCATCATCAAGAGCGGGGCACGGCTTATTGGCAGATATGTCATGATGAAGAATGAACGTGTGGTGCTAGCTAGATGCCGCTACCTTTCGGAGTGAGCCTGGGAATGTGAGTATTCCGAAATGCGTCGGAACAATGTACATCGGACTGAAATAGTCTGCCGATATCGCGGTGGACGTGCGCCCACAACCACTTGAGAAAGCATCACTGAGATGGTGAGAGATTCGATGGTAGAAAGTTTGATGAACGATATATAGATACTTTTCGCACAAGGAAACTGGCCTTCCTGTACTAATCTGTTAGTTGCGCGCTAACCATCTTTTGGTTGTAGCTCCCGCTGGAGGCAGGGTAGCTTCGCATGTAGGCGAGAACTTCGGCTTCCAGGTATTCTTAACTCGGACGCACCATCCTACGCCTTCTCGGGCTCATCTAATAGATAGCCTTCTCTTCTACCCAGTACATTTTCAATAGTCTCATCTGTAAATCTCAAGTCCTCCTCAAGTGGCACTGTGTCTTTGATCTTTAGAAGCATAACAGGTAGGGCGATAACCAAGCTTGCAGCCAACATCACCCAGCTAGATAGAAAAATATCCATGTAAGGCCTCTTGTAGCCGTCTATACGGAACACTATAGCCGCACCTGCTGATTGTATACCTTTGTAGAAGCCTGCAAAGTTCGCAAGCTTGCGGCTGTTGTTGGAGATGGCACCCATAAACCTAGGAAAAGTTAACAGAGAACGAAACCGTCAGGTGAGCTAGTTACCAGTAAACGCAGGTTTGCCACGCTGCATCGTAGAAGCCGTAGCTCATGTATAAAACCATTGGGCCGCCATATCCACCATGGGTCCAGTCGTAGTGGAGGCTGTTATCATCGCGACTGTATTGTCGTTGAAAGGCATATCCTCCGCCCCAGACAGAAAAGGTCAACACCAAAATCGTTACCCAGGCTATCTTTGCTCGGATAGTTCTTCTAACGTTCGGGAAGTCTAGCGCAAACCCGAATACAGCAGCTCCAAAAATCTGCGCTAACCAATCTAACGGCCGGTATACGGGTCAGTATATGTCTCATATAGAATTTCAACAGGGATAATACTAACACAGCGTGTTGTTTAACGCGCGGGTCCGCACGTTGAACCGCGCATAGTTGACGTCGTTGAACTGGTATGTATAAAACCAATTCGAAGCGAAGAACATCGGGAAGAGGAGAATGATATATGGGTCCGTACGGAGAGTCTCCCAAAGACCGAAGATCTCAGATTGCCAAGTCGGGTGTTTCATCATGATTACCCGACTGCCATCGCGGCGTACGACATGTTTGGCATCAATGAGTGTCCAAGAGAGGCATGCGCCGAAGAACGTGAGAATCATGAAGCCGATATATGTACCGTTCGTAACTGCCGCTGTAGTTCCGTCGCGGGTGTTGAAGTTGAGCGCTAGTTGCACCTGATATTGAAGTCAGTGTTTATCCTTTCCATGCCTTCTGGGGATCCACTTACCAAACCACCTATAACAGCCTGAGAAGTGATGGCACGAAGTCAGTGTATGTCTCGGATGCATTATACACAACCACAACTTACCCCCATATTGAAAATTATCCAGAACCAGGAGATATACCGTCCTTTCATTTTCTCGGGCTGTTACAGGCAGTCTGGTAAGCGGATTCCCAGAGCATGGAAAGAACAAAAACTCACTGGGTACGACATCATGATTGCTCCTTGGGAAGCCCACAGAATACCAGCACAACATCCCAACAGGAAACCAGAGAAAACCACGTAACCTAAGTTTTGGGTCTTGTTGAAACAAAGCAGTGCACTGACGTAGATGCAATATCCCAGACCACCGAAGGAGAGCGCAATTCGAATGCCAAGGACGTTCGTGATGGTACCGGCGAAAAATCCAACGACGGCGAAGGTAGCATAAAGCGTAGTGTTAGCAGCGTTACTGGCATGGGCGTCATCGTCAAGACCTGCTGCACCTATCCCATTGACGGCATTGAACATGCCTGCGCAGTATCAGTAACTTGTTTATCATTCAGATGATGCGCTGAAGCTTACCGGGGCACAAAAAGCAGACAAACGAGACCAGTATCAACTGTGACTCTGGCGATGCATAGTATGGAAGCTTGACGGGTCCGATTCTCAGGCTTCTGTACTTCCATCCTCGTCGTCTCTCAAAACTTCCTTGATCATCGTCACGGACTGGCACTCTTGTGTTCGCCCATGTGCTTTGATTGGGTCCGGCCATCGAGACTGATGTAATTGATAATTTGCCTTAGAAGACTAGAATATTGCGTTGACACAGGCGATTGATGGAATGGTATTATGAACGCTGTCGGCAAAGGAACACGATGATCAGGTTCTAGAAAGAAGGCATGGGATGGTCAAACAAAGAATGGGTTTCAGATGTTGCGTAGAGTGACCTGTGAACTATTCTGCAACCGAGTTTCGTTTGTTCACGTACGTTGGGGGCCAGGCTAATCGGTCAACGTATATCCACGCTTTCGTGTCCTTCGGTGAATGAAATGATTGGCGCAATGCATAATTGTGGTAGCGTGTACGTGCTATGTTTAGTCCCACCAGCTGTGTTACTAGGCTCTGCCTCATGCAGTGGGCACAAAATTGGTGGGGAATACCTTATCGAGATCGGTATCGTTAGAATCGTTGAGGTTCACTTGTCTCGTCACCCCGTGTTTTGGATCAGTTCATTACTAGTTCCTGCGCTCAAGCCAGTCACACCACCAAGGCTGAATGTAAAGTTCGTCCTGGATAGCTCGATCGTTGCGTATCGGTAAGCTTGCCCTGTTCCGGCGAGGAATAACCCCTCGCATAAGCTTGTGGCGCCAGCTATCCTTGGTAAATGGGCACAACTCGCCCCCGTAGACGTGGCTTTGGCGCGCCAAAAAGATAATATCGAAATGTGTAAATGTTCACTGGGGGCTATGGGACGCCATTTGCGCAATGAGCTAAAAGACTGATTTATTTACGGTCAGACGCAGAGGCTTAGATGACCAAGACGTGATAACATTTGGCCCCATCGTCTTGCTGACCTATCGACATACCCTTCTTTCCATGTGAAAGAGGCCTCCCATACAATATTTGTGATGGGCCTGCGTCTCATGGTGGACCTCGACCAGGACGTTCAGCCATTTCCGCCCCTTGCTAAAAGATTTGCATGTCTGACCATCGACGTGAACATGCAAGGATGTTGTGACACCAATGATTTCTCTGAACCCGATTATGGGCTTTCGATATACCTTTTGTGTTTCTATTGGACAAAGGGGTTCCACATCGGCGTAATTGTATTCAAATTTCAAAGTGGTCTTCTCGGTCATGCTCACCGCATGACACATAACCTTGTGGCGCAAGCCATTACCTGCATGGCTATCGGCGCTTAGTGTCACATTCATCGCACTGCATAGTACGACTTTCCGCAGCCGACAGTGAGCTTCACCCTGCGAGTCACACCCATCGTAGTGTCCATGTCGATTACTAGCGATGGAGATAGTTGCATCCACACCTGTAAACGCAGCCTCTGCTGTCACCGCTCTGAACAAAGCGGCTTGGACATTATCAGTATCCCTTTCCGAACTTGACAAGGACGCAAAGCTCGGCAATGCATCCCTGGAAAACCTCACAGGTGAAGTTAAATCTCTCGGTAATGAATGTTACCAAATACACCTCAAGTTGGTAGAAGTCGCAAGCAAAACAAAGACAGGGTCACCCCCACCCTACGATGGCGACGGCAGGATGTGGACTTGTCTTACAACGCAGGTGGAAGACGCGAGCCAGACAATACATAGCCTGGAGTCATTCGTCAAGAGCGTCAGGTTGGAGGAGGCTGAGGAGGCCAGTCTCGTGTTCCGGCCGCAGCGCCTGGTGCAGCTAAATAAGAGCAAGGATCAAATCGAGGAGATGGTAGCGAATGTACGCAGACATAGTGACAACCTGAGGACTACGTTACTCCTGGTTCACACGTAAGTTGCTTGTTTGCCAACAAGTAATCATGGGATGCTGAACCAACTTCCAGTGTACTTGCCCATCTTGTATCTGTCCGTCCCGAGCGACCACCTGCATCCGACGTTGTGGAGCTGCAACACATGGTGACCAAGCTGCAACGCTCATCTCGGATCGGTCCAACTTGGCGATATTCCCATACGGAAGCTACATTGATGCAGTACGCGCAAGAAGTTATCGTCAAAGAGATGAAAATTTGCGAGCGAAATCCAACTGTAAACCGGACCGTTCAGGCTTTACATATCGAAAATAACGATGACCGTGTCCCACAATGGGCGAAGGCCATACAAGCGATACGAGAAGATCAGCAAGAATCAAGGGTCTCTTCGGTAGTTCCTGAAATCTCTTCAAAGAGCCCTGGAAGGACGTATAGTGTCCTGAGAAGTCTGCCGCCGATCCAAAACATGCAACAACATGAAGCGTCCGACTCGGACGATGATTTGGATACCGACTTCGCCAAAGCGGCATTGAGCACCGGCTCCCAAGCATTCGATGCCGGCATATATGTGAGAAATATCCCTATAAAAATTGCGTGTGAGACATACACTGACTTCTGACATGAACCTCCCAGGAAGAAGCAGACTCTCTGCTTCAAGAAGCGCTAAGGATATTGCTATTGCTGCAAAAGCGAAGACGAGCTTTCTGCGACGTCTTCAGTCTGCACTATAAGCTTGCAGTTTGTGCGTACCACGTTCAGGGACCGGCAGATGCCGAAAAGGCTTTGACCGGATTCGTTGAACAATCAGCGAACTCTGATACAGAACGTGAATGGATTCACAATGCAACTCACCTGTTAGCTCAGCTGTACGTCCGCATGAATCGTCTCGACCGCGCACGGATCGAATGCGAGAAGACCTTGCAAGCACGGCGACGGCTACAAGGAAAACAAAGTGCTGCCTCTTTAGAATCGATGGCGCTCATGGCCCATATCTATGTTTTGCTTGACAACCGTGCGCTTGCAAAATCGTGTCTTGCTATGATACCAGAGGCCAACCGGGAGACCGTGTTGAGAGTGGTCGAAGAATCACTTGGGAAGAATGTAGAGCACCTAGATTTCGCCTCGCTGCTCTCACGAGTGAGACCTGTCGATGCCGATACGATTGTAGAGCGAGCCCATAGCAGCAGACTCTCTACAACAACCTTAGAGTCATCCTTGGATCACAATGGCAGCGACTCAGCGTCTGTGATGACGAAGTCACAAGTAGCTGACCCTTGGCATACACCTCGAAGTATTGCATCCGAGAACGTTACCTTGGTGGATTCGAGTCCTCTTATAAAGAAATCGCACCTTTCTGTATCTAGTAAAACAGAGCGGGGATTCTCAAAAGATGAAAGCCAAGTACGAGATTACTCTCCTAGCATAAGGAAAGCAGACGTAGCGGTTGCGAGCTCATCTGGACCCGAGCACAAAGGGGAAAACAAGGCGAAGCCGCTCTCCCGTAAAGAGATACTCAACAAAGTTGGCTGTCAACCCCGAGACCGAGCTGAGGAGGCTGTTTGCGATGGAGATTACGGAGCTCTGATGACTACACTGAATAAGAAGAAAGGTTTCTGGCGGTCAAATGTGCGTAAGCGTGGCCGCACAGAGCGTGTGACTGCACTGCACTTTGCCGCTCTATTTGGTGAAGTTGACATGGCGCGGGCCTTGATACAGGCAGGTTTCGGCGTCAATGAAGTCCCTTTCGGCTATTCGACGACTCTGACACCCTTGAATTTTGCCATCGGCGCCCGGCAGGTGATCATGGTCGACTTGCTCACTATGAATGGTGCGGCACCAGCTTCACCAGACACATGGTCAACATTGGCAGGACAGCTGATGAGCCGATCATGGCTGATGAAAACGATGTCGGAGGCTGAAAAGCACCTGGTCCCAAAACGGATTACTGAGATTATGGATATTCTACTTCACCGCGGATGGGATATCAATGCCCCAATAACGGCATCTGGAGGGACTGTCTTACACCAAGCGGTATGTTTTTGGACTGGGGCATACAAATGGGATTTGAGTCTTCGCGCTGCGGTGACTTCATTCCTATGCGAGAGAGGCGCAAATCCATTCCAGGCGAACTTAGAAGGCAAGACCCCTTATGATATTGCGTCCGCCTCTGAACATCAGGACCTCATGGTGATCATCGAAGACCACTCCAGACAGAAGAGGCTCTTAGGCACACCTGCGATGCCAGTTGAACTCCCCGGCCAGTTCCATTGACATGGCTGATGCGCTTTTAGATTGGGTTTCCTGGAGTACATCGGCTCACACAAGCCGCTGAAACCTGCGGAACAGACGGTCTGGGATAGACGAAATCTGATTTGATCAGCGTCATGAAGCCTTGTTGGAAGCGACACACATTAGGAACAGAAATGGCCGGCATGCAACGATAAAGTCGATCTGTAGCTCATAGATGCGCTATGAACGCGAGAGCATGTCCTCGTGAATTCGCCTATGTACTTGGATGCGACAATGGGGAAGGCTTCTACAAAGGCTATCACGCCTTTGAATAGACATGTAATGCGTCTGCAAGGCGTATACAATAATGCAGGAAGCTAGAGTCCACTAGAAGAATTAACTGCGGATGCCTCCCAGCTGGCTGGTAGTAGTAACAAAGAATCAAGGAAAACCGGCCGTTTTCCTAGAAGAAGACTACTGGATCTGCCTGTAGTTGACTGAGTCCAGGTAAAGAGTCATGCATGACGGTACAGAATACATCGTGCGACGCTGGCGGATCATCCTGCTTATCCGTCAAAGGTGTGAGCCGCACATTGCGGACTTGGTTTTTGGCTTCAGGGCTTAGATGGCGTATAAAATCCAGAACAGGCAAATAGTTGAATGCATAGAAATGGAACTGGTTCTCCGAGTATATGATTTGCAGGCATTCGTGATAGATCAGGCGATTCGTTCGTAAAACATCCAGACTTAAGTGTCTGTCAGGGTGAGGGCGGCAATTCTTGTTCCATTTCCTGCTGATGGATCGTGCGTCGCAATCGGTGTAGAGAATAAATCGCTTGTTTGATGATGGTAAGACATATCGGAAAATCTCCCTCCGAATCTCAGACGGGATACGTAGTAAAGGTGGGTAGGTGTCCAAGGGTGATATGGTTTCGGCAAGCGAAATCTGCTTCTCTACACTCTCTTTTGAACGGCGTTCTAGGCGACGTAGGCAGATATCCTCCGTTGTCTTGGGTGTGGGTGCCATCTATACAGATGTCAGTACTACGCGGATATCGTAGGCACTACATGGCCTGACCTTCTTGGCAGATGTCTTGGCCGGCATGCTCGTAATATGAACGCTTACGAGAGAGCTCGAGATGCAGTCGGGAATAATGGCAAAGTTCTGCGATAGGTTCAGATCGTATTGGCAATCAACCCTGGGAGACGAAGCGGTCACGAGGTCATATGTGCCGTGTCAATGTCACTATGCAGCACGGAATTGATCGTTCGAATGTGTCGACGACAAGTGTTTAGGTTGGGAGCTTCTGGGATACGCGACGACGTAATTGTGGTACAATGCATGGAAGGACTGTAGAATGCCGAGCGAATGTTGCCAACAGAAGTCGGGAAACTTACGCACGGACCTCCGGCTTGGCAAAGGGTCGTGCTCTGGAGATAGGGAAAATTCATGGGACGCGTTTGTTTGATCCCCGCATACAGCTGCGCATAGCTCACCGTGCCCCTCACAACACACCACCAGCTTTATTTGAATTTCAAAGCTTCCACAATCTGGGCCCGAGTCTTTGTATTTCTCTAATCAGACAGCATGTCGTTCGGCGGTCAAACACCGACGATTGTGGTGTTGCGGGAGGGTAGGTGCCTCGACACTTTTTGATACATACATCGCTAACAGTCTCAGGTACCGATCAGTCACAGGGCCGCGGTCAGGTAATATCAAACATCAACGCTTGCCTTGCTGTACAGGCCACGATCAAGGGAACACTCGGACCATATGGCGGTGATCTACTCATGGTCGATGAGAATGGCAGGCAGACAATCACCAACGATGGTGCCACGGTCATGAAGGTAGAGCCTACTGCAAAATTCCAGCTTTTCTAGCGGGTCTAACTGTACACAGCTCCTTGATATCGTCCACCCCGCCGCCCGCGTTCTCACCGACATCGCACGATCGCAAGATGCCGAAGTGGGCGATGGTACCACTTCCGTCGTGGTTATTGCAGGAGAGATACTGAAGGAGATCAAGGACTTTGTCGAGCAGGGAGTCAGTAGCCAGACTATCATGAAAGGCCTCCGGAGAGCTTCGCATCTTGCTGTCAACAAGATTATGGAAATCGCCGTAGACACTGCCGAGGGCAACCAGCGGGATACTCTCCAGAAACTTGCCGCGACCGCCATGAGCAGCAAGCTGATTCACAGGAATGCCGACTTCTTCACCAAGATGGTCGTAGACGCTGTACTCTCGCTCGACCAGGACGAGCTGAACGAGAAGCTCATCGGAGTAAAGAAGATTACTGGTGGTGCGCTCCAGGATTCGCTTTTTGTCAATGGTGTCGCATTCAAGAAGACCTTCTCATACGCCGGTTTCGAGCAACAACCGAAGACTTTCAAGCAGCCGAAGATCGTGTGCCTGAACGTCGAACTTGAGCTGAAGAGTGAGAAGGACAACGCTGAGGTACGGGTAGAGCAGGTCTCGGAATATCAGGCGATTGTCGATGCAGAGTGGCAGATTATCTACAACAAGATGGAGGCGCTATACAAGACGGGTGCCAAGGTTGTCCTGAGCAAGCTTCCTATTGGAGATTTGGCGACACAGTACTTCGCGGACCGCGACATCTTCTGTGCTGGACGCGTAGCGGCAGACGATCTCGACCGCGTATGCCGCGCAACAGGCGCGAGCCTTCAATCCACCTGCTCTGATATTCAGAGCAAGCACCTCGGAACCTGCGAATCGTTTGAGGAGCGACAAATTGGTGGCGAGCGCTTCAACTTCTTCGAGGGCTGCCCGGAGGCCAAGACTTGCACATTGGTGCTTCGTGGCGGTGCAGAGCAGTTCATCGCCGAGGTCGAGCGAAGCTTGCACGATGCAATCATGATTGTCAAGCGTGCGATCAAGAACAGGAACATTGTTGCCGGAGGTGGTGCCGTCGAGATGGAGATCTCCTCATACCTACACAACTACGCCGACAAGAACATCCCGCATAAGCAACAACCTATTATCAAGGCGTTTGCAAAGGCCCTTGAGGTCATTCCTAGGCAGCTCTGCGATAACGCCGGTGTCGACGCGACGGACATTCTCAACCGACTCCGCGTAGAACACAAGAAGGGCAACATCTGGGCTGGTGTCGACTTTACAACAGAGAGCATAGCGAACAACATGGAGAGGTTCGTCTGGGAGCCTAGTCTGGTCAAGGTCAACGCTCTGCAGGCAGCAACGGAGGCGGCATGCTTGATCCTGAGCGTTGACGAGACAATCAGTATGTGAGATGACATTCCAGGGCAAAACAATGCTAACAATATACAGAGAACCAGGAGTCACAGCAACCACAAGCCCCCAACAGGCCACTACCGCCTGGCGCTGCACAGAGGGCGCTGGGTGGAGGAAGGGGACGCGGCCGCGGAATGCCCAGACGGTAAAGACACCAGAGCAGAAGAGAGAGTGTATACCAAGACAGAGACAACTATGCTACGCCATGTCGCAGACGCAAATGTCCATGAATAATGCAAAAATGATGAATCGAACAAGCATCTTGTTCGCAAGTCTTGAGCGCACCTAAGAATTTTCGATCGACATGAGACGATGCAGTGAATTCGACCAAGGATATTTAGGTTGCTCCTTCACGCTCGTTACGACTCCTTAATGCCCCTCTCGCCCCAGCTCATGCCATAGCTCTTTACCCTGCTAAAGTAGAAGGCACGATCGTTCTTCAATCCAAACTCGGCCCAGTCATCCGTCAACCGGTTGTAACTCCAGTACCCTTGCCAAACAAGTTTGTTGTTCTTAGCTCCTCGCCCTGCATTGCCGAAACTCAGTGCCATCTTGTACATGTACTTTGGTGTGGCGCCTGGTTTCTCAATATGCAGCGTGCCCTCCTGTTCCTCGCTGCCAGGCTCCGGACCGCTCATGCGCCAGCGGCCTAACACGGCATCTTTCATTGGTGCACTGGGCAGGTTGTGATGGTTCTTGTGAATGTGTTCGACATACAAGTAGGGAACCACATCGGCGGGCTCGGTTGTGGTGAGCAGAGAAATGCATGTCCCGTCGCGCAGAAAGCGCAGGTAGCGGAAGTAAGTTACAATATGGATAGGCGAGTTCCAGGATGATGTTGTGGGTAGTGCTTGACCCGGACGCGTATAGTTGACCGTACTGATGTAGCAGCCGTTGAACCGAATGCGAGGGCGTTGTCGAAAGAGTGTGCGGTAAGTGGGGTATGGTGTTGGGACGAGAAGCTGGGTCAGTGCTGCTGGAGAGAGTGATTCGGCTGCGGCTTCGATGTCTTCGGTATCAGAGAGGTCAAGATTTGCGGCACCTAGAGTGATTCCGCCCATGTCGTCGTCATTGAGCGGTTTCCCGCCAACTTGACACGACCATGTGTAGTGCATGGACGCGAAGCCATATTCGGGCCCTAGAGCTAAACGTTTCCAAACACGGTCTTCGGTGGTCACGAGGTAAGCCAGGCGTTTACACACTTGGGCCAGGCGAGCGAATGACGCAATGTCTTGTATGGCGAGTTGCTCCAATATCTCGACAACAATCTCTTCTGGAATACTGGATATCGGACATGGAGGCGCGGGGCTTAGGTCGGTTGGTGCTAGCTCACCGAGAATAGAAGTGCTGGCGTATTCGTTGATCAGGCTTTGGTACGTGGGAGAGAGACCATGTAGGGAGTGGTGGGCAGTATTGGGCACTGTGGCTGAGGCATTGGATGGGTTGGGGTCTTGGGGTTTGGGTATAGGGTGGGACGATGCTGGTGTTGTTGACGATGGAACTGAAGCGCTTGCTGCTTGTGCAGCTTTGAGTTTCTTGAAATATGAGGGCGGGAAGTGCTTCGCTTTGTACGTCTCTTGAACGCCAGAATCGAGCTACCAACATCAGTCGATAGTTTATGGTGACATTGAAGTCAACGCACCTTGAATGCTTTTCTGTACAGATCTACACTGTCACCCAGACTACCTTGACTTTCCTTTTCTACGGCTTTTTCATAATGTTCTAGAGCAGACGTCGGTTCGGCCTCTTCAGTAATTGCGGCAGCGGTCTGAGCGCTCGTTTCATCAAGTCTCCGGCCATGCTGCTTCTCGCCCAGATTATGGTAGGTATAGGAGTTGACTTCGTCACCGCCTTCTAGGCTTAGGCTCCGAGCACGAGTGTGATGCTGCACATCAGGCGCATTGCTTTTGTTTGCATGAGATTTGCTCGTTGAGGATGAAGTAGCGGTGTTGTTGACCGACGCAGACGAGGCAGGCGCCTTGCCCTTTGACCTGGCAGTCACTTCTTCCCTCCATTTCTGGCGGAAAGACTCGAGCTCGGCCTCGGTGTTGGTGGGAACGTCTTGAGGGTCCATGGCCTTGGGTATCGGTTAGACGCGGTATGTCCGAAGTCGCAGGATGTGGACGAGAACAGGGTCCAATGCAGAGGCTAGCAACGGGCTTTTAGTAAGGATACGAATTCAATCGACGTGTGACTCTAGAGAAAGTTCCGGTGCCCGCAGTGATTAGGCGTGCATGACGGGACCTGTGAAGTTGCGGCAGGGCGATGACGGGCGCCACTCGATCCATGTTCTAGCCTCGCGCAGTGCGCCATCTGATAAGCCGACGCCCTTTTGTCTCTGACAATCGGCGTGAGGGGCCAATCATCCAACGTGGGCGGCGCGGGAATGACGCGCCAAAAAGTGTAGCTCCGATAATTAAGTCGTTGCGTCAAAGCTTCCCGTCGCCTTCGTCACCACTTATACACGCCCATCACTCCAGAAGACAATGCGCACAACGCCCTTTTTGCGCATCCAGCCCTCTGACAAGACCCCTCGCACCGCCTCGAGGCTATCCCCCACCTCCCTGCTGCCACTCCCAAAGTAGGCAACATGGCGATGGCCACGCAGCGAGCCGAGGCAGCGGATCCGACCGGCGTGGGCGAAGTGTCGCTCGGCCAAAAAATGATGTCTGCCGTCTCGGGTAGTGTCCTCACGTCGTTGCTGGGTATGTCGCATCTACGCACTTGTCTGCCATGCCAGAACTGACACCAGCAAGTCACCCCTCTCGACGTCGTCCGCGTACGACTGCAATCGCAAGAAACCGTCCCGACCACCTCGCCACGCCCACGCGGATTCAATGGCCCGACACTCACACAATTCCGCGATCTACCACCCAATCTCGGCATCTCGTCGTGCTGCAGAGAGGTTTTTTGGATGAACAACAAGGCACCCTTCTGCGTAGCGGGGCCGACCATGGCGCCCATAAACCCCGCCGATTTGAGCTGTGCCGTGGAGGAGGTCGAACGCAAAACCATAAATAGCACATGGGACGGTCTGCGCAAGATTGCCCAGAACGAGGGCCCGCGGACACTCTGGAGAGGACTGTCACCGACTCTAGTCATGGCAGTGCCTGCAAACGTCATCTACTTTGCCGGATACGACTGGCTGCGAACAGCGCAAGCCTCACCTTTGCGACAAACGGTTTCCGATGCGTACATACCATTAGTGGCAGGAGCCACTGCGCGAGTTCTTGCTGCCGTAGCAGTGGGTCCCATCGAAATATTCCGAACACGAATGCAGGCAGCAAATTCTACTGCCACCGCCGCTGGGCACTTCCGCGATACAATGGACGGGCTCAGAGAAATGGTCGGCAGCCAGGGTGTCTCCAGTTTATGGAGAGGCCTCACGTTGACCCTCTGGCGCGATGTACCCTTCTCCGCCATGTACTGGTGGGGTTACGAAGCCACAAGAAACGTTTTGACAGACCAACGAGGAAGAAGGGAGGCCAGGAACGATGGTTTCGAATTCCGCATGGGCCGAGGCGAGGAGAGAGTACGGAGAAGAAGCAGGTCAAGAAGCCAAGAGAACCATAGAGATACATTGGTCGACAGCTTCATCGCTGGTGCTACGTCAGGAGCAGTTGCTGCTTTCATCACCACACCATTTGATGTTGGAAAGACACGCCAACAAGTTGCGCGGCACATGGGCGACACTGCAAAGGACATCGCAAACTCAACACGGCCAGAAGACCAATCCATGCCACGCTTCCTCGCGCACATCTATCGCGAACAAGGCATGCCGGGTCTGTTCAAGGGCTGGGCAGCCAGATGTCTCAAGATCGCGCCTGCATGCGCTATCATGATTAGCTGCTACGAGTTCAGTAAAAAGATGGCCTTGGATATGAATGGACGGCGGGAACGGGAACGATTAGAAGCATGAACTGCAACACGCCCCACCACCAACCCCGGTGTGTAGCACACATCACATCCATTACTCGCGTTGTCGGCTTCACACATCGTATGATAATTGCATAGCGGCGCATTGGGAGCGTACAGGTTAAAACCCACTCATGGTTGCATTGGCGGCGTTTCGTGCAGACAATGGGCGGGCATTGTTTTATTATGTATTTGGAACCGGATTGAAGCGATACCAGTGAATACGTCTGTACATGGCACAGGCAGCATTCAATAATGAAAGGTCACAACCATTAGTCATGCTGACTTGCTTTTTCAGTACCTTGTCTACTCACATCCCTCAAGAAAGCGAGGAATGCTTCCTGACATGTCTCTGCCTGACTGACATATATCTCATGGCCCGGGCCCTCGATGAGCACCAACTTACTTCCTTGGATTGTCTCAGCCAAAATCTCCATGTCTTGTACTTTCACAGCAGCACTCTGCGTTGGCGATAAGATCAATGTTGGTACTTTGATCTCCCTCAACCACGGTCTCGCGTCCAGTGTTGACAGGAACTCCGCATACTGAGCCAACCCCTCACCATCACTAACAGCAATTTGTTCCAGATACCACGCAAGATAGTGCGGATCCGAAACCGGAATTGTGCCAGGAACTCGCGACAAGGCCTCCGCCCAACCCCGCGATCCAAGCTCCCTGCATGCCGCCGGCCAATTCTTCTTACCGAACGCGAAGAGTTGTAGAGCTTGTGGCGGCAAATGGATAGGTGTTGAGCATACTGTCAAGCTCAAAACTCTCTCGGGATGTTTGGCTGCGAATATCTCGCCCAGCATACCTCCAGTTGACTCGCCAAGGAGATGCACCTTCTCCACGCTGAGTTGGTCGAGCGTGTCGAGGATTTCCCCCAAGATTGAATCTACAGTATAGTCATACTTTGCTGTGTCCTTTGGATAACTAGAGTGTCCGTGGCCTCTCAAATCGCGTCGTATGACACGGTATTGGCGAGATAAGATTGGGACCCAATGGTACCAGAACGCGGCATGCCGCCCAAAACCATGTTGTATCAAGATTGTCTCTCGGGTTTGCCAAGGATCGGTAAAGTCGTCGAGGATGTAGTGAGTTCGCTGACCGGAGGGGTGGTGAACGAATGTCAACCCGGATGCGTCGCGATCTAACGGCATGGTCGGCAAGTGTCGAGACTGTGAAGCCTTCGTGTCGCTCGGGTTTCTTTACTGTCCATGTTTTTCTACTCAACCCTAACCTCATATCTTCATTGCCGACTTCATTCCACTAGTGCCGTACTGGTGTATCCTGGGGTACATCGGTTTGTGGGGCATTTGCGGGGAAGCTGCAACGCCCACGACTATACCCCAACGCTTGGTATGATACGGCATCAGCAAGAGCTACCGTAAAGATTGAAAGACTTCAAGTTTTTTTTTTTACAAGTAGAGCTGAACTATCATAGGTTGAAGTTGATCTTTGAACAGTCAGAATTCGTAGTGACTGAGCTTTTCATCTCCACATATCGAGCATCGGCCATGTCCATCCTCGGTATCGTTCAGGCATCTTGGGGATCATCCTTTGTCCTCAAACTAGGGCTAATCACTACAACACCAATACTACTCTTGTTGACGGTATACTTCATTGTTGTGCCGAACGCTATTAAGGTAACGCTGTTCATCCCATAGCCCGTCTCGTATCTCTACTGACCTCACCTGTAGGATTCTCGGCGTCGACATCTACCACCAGGCCCCAAAGGGCACCCATTCGTCGGTTCTCTCTTTGAGCTCGCAGATACGGAAGCTGTGCGTGATAAAGTCGTCGCATGGCGCAAACAATATGGCCATGTATTTCACACCAAGATTGGCGGAACAGACTACATATGGCTATCTTCACCAAAGGCCGTCAAAGACTTGATGGATAAGAAATCGAACATCTATTCCTCGCGAGCCCCTGCACCCATGGCACAAGATGTCTTATCCGCAGGCCGACGCCAATTGTTCATGCAATATGGACCCAGGTGGCGCAGCATCCGAAAACATAGCCACGCGCTCCTCAATCTCAACGCAAGTATCAATTACCAACCTGTTCAAGACTTTGAGAGCAAAGTTCTGTTAAAACAATTGATGCAAGATCCCAACGATTTCATGTCCATCAACAGGCGCTACTCCGCCAGCGTCATAATGCTGGTCACATATGGTTATCGCATACCCAGTTGGGACGATCCACTCATAAAACGCATTTACGACGTGCTGGAGCGCTTCACTAGAAATACTGCACCAGGAGCATGGGCCATTGATTCGTTTCCTGCGCTAGCGTCCTTACCGCAATGGCTGTTCGGGAATTGGAGAATACACGGCCAGAAGCTCCATGAACAGGATAGCCAAGTGTACCTTGATCTCTGGAACAAGCTCAAGAAGGACACGGATGCCGGAGTAGCAAAAGATTGCTTCACAAAGACATTTTACCTAAACGGACCCGAGAAGTCGGGCATCGATGAGCTGGCTGCAGCGTACACGTGTGGTGGGCTGATTGAAGCCGGGTCTGAAACTACAGGTACGACACTGAACAACTTTGTCCTTTCTATGGTTTTATTCCCTGAGGCGCAAAAGAAGGCACAGGAAGAGTTGGATCGTGTGGTTGGCAAGGACAGATTGCCGACGTGGGAGGATGAGGAGAATTTGCCCTATGTGAGAGGTGTGATTAAGGAAGTATTGAGGTGGAGACCAGTGAACAAATTTGGAATGCCGCATGCGACTAGCGATGATGACTGGTACGAGGGCTGGTTCATTCCCAAGGGAAGTATTGTAGTGCTGAACTGGTGGTATGACTCTCTGTCTCTTCACTTTACTTGTTGGCATCCTGAGATGAAGATTTTACTGATCGTTACAGGGCAATTCACAACGACCCGGACCTCTGGCCCAACCCCTCAGCTTTCGATCCCTCTCGCTACCTAAACCATACTGCATCTGCAGCACACTACATGAATACTGCCGATCCTTCAGAGCGTGACCACTTCGCCTATGGCGCAGGACGACGCTCATGTCCAGGCGTGCACGTCGCCGAACGTTCACTTTTCATCAACGTGTCCCGGGTACTTTGGGGGTTCAATCTTACTAAGAAGCTTGGAAAAGAAGGCAAAGAAGTACATGTCAACACAAAGATGGAGCCCGGGTTCTTTAGTGTGCCAGAGCCATTCCATTGTGATATCCGGCCTAGGAGTGAGGCGCATGCCAAGGTTATGAGAGCGGAGAGCGAGAGAGTAGAAAGAGATGGATTGGATTATTGAAGAGGAGTTTTGATCATCGTAAAAGTACTACTTGCTGTATCTTTCTCAGTATCCTTGCCTCTTTGGTGGTTCCTGGTAGCCTAAATTCCAGATCTTATCACTCTCCTCGCCAATCCACCGCTGGCTGTCGTTCGGATAATCGACCGGCTGCCTAAAATAGATATTCTCTTGAGACAACTCTACAGCCTGGCCGGTCAATGTGTCATCTGCTAAAAAAGCATCAATAGCCTTGTTCACAGTTGACAAAGGCGTAATGTGCTCTTTAGGCCAGCGCTTTGCAACTTCTGGAGGACAGAGATTTGTTGGAATAAAGGCTGGGCAGATTGCGTTAACTGTGATGCCCTCCTTGACAAATACGGGTCCAGAGGCGCGGCACAGACCTACCACGCCATACTTGCTGGCTGTGTACTGGGGGCATTGTATCATGGAACTTGGGCTCTCGTTAGTCTTGTGCTCGGTCTCAACACACAAGCACCAGGAGAAGAAGTACTTACTATAAACCGGCCGCACTACTCGTGGCGACAAATTTGCCCTTCCCACCACCTGCCTCCTTGCTTCTTCTAACATAATACTTGAACAGCCACAATCCCTGCATCACGCCCTCGAGGTTGACCTCCATAGTCTTCGTATTCAACTTCTTCACCAGACCTTCTTCATCCACCTCTTCCTTGTCCATATCCTCAAAGATGTTCTGTCTATCGTCGATACCGGCATTTGCATGGCAAAAGTCCAGACGGTCACCGCCCCATTCGTAAGCGCGCTTGAAGAGCTGTGCTTGCGATTTATAGGAGGAAACATCGGTTTGGTGGAAAATCGCGTCGGAGCCAAGGCTTGCGGCTACACGTTCGCCTGATGATGGATTCAGGTCTGCGATGACGACTTTGTAGCCTTTGCTGTACAGGTGGGTTGCTACTGCTTCGCCGATGCCGGAGCCTGCACCTGTTACGATAGCCACCGGTTTTGACATGTTTGTTATTATCCTTTTACTCCGTTTATTCCAGATATGATGCGAGTTGCGAAGGTAACTCTAGGATTTGCAAGTAAAAGGTACTATATGTCGTTCCGGTGACTCTAGCTCCAAGCTCGCGTCTTTGCCGATCGGACGCATCCTCCGGCTAAGCTGCACGGCAGGCATCATCGTGGTTGTGGCCATGGGGCGTGGAGATGGGTCGCGAAGACCCCACATGAAGCACGCCGGGAGTTGTAGACAGATACAGGTTACCCCGCACTAAACTGCATGAAGCGTGCGGGGGTGAAGGTGCTCGGGGACTTCCGACCGATGAGCATCTTGGGTGATATCTACACGTGAACATTCCTCGGCGAGAAACACGACTTTGCTAACAGTGAGATTGCACATTTTTTCCAATGGATATGCTTGGTTAGTGAGAGCGCAGAATGATCTTGGAAGCGTCGAGCCAAAGTCACTATGCACATGCCCACCAATCTACTTACCGGAAACGAACATGTCCCACGCCGCGCTCAGACAGTCTAGATCGACATTCTCCAATTTATTTCCTTCCTCAATTTCTGGCCCATAGACCTTGGTCCTTCCTTCTGCCCATGCACTACCAGCCTGTCCATGCACAAAAGTTATGAAGTCCTCAGCTAATCTTCGAGCCGTCTTCTTCGCCTCAACAGGAAGGTTTTCTTCGAAGTTTTGGAACAAGAACGCCGCATCCAACATATGCGTACTTTTTCCTTCGAACCTGCCTTGCCAAGGATTTGGCTCAGTGAAGAAGTAGGAGGAAACCTTTCCTTTGAATGCGCGAGCGTAGTACTTTGCAGGGAGACGGTACGCAATGTTTGTCGCTAAGTTGACGATGGAGGACATGGCCTCATCGTCAGGGGTTGAAGGTGTAACACCATATGCTGATAAGACGGCTTGGGCGACAGACGTAGGAAGATTGCGAGAGAAGGATGAATGGATCGCCGACGCCATCCCATCATTTGGAAGGCCCATGAAGAAGAAGACATTGCCATCATGAGCACATGATCCTATCAGCAACTCTTCGCACCAGCTGTTGTTCAGACTCAGGATCGTATCGGTCGAAAGTTGCGCGAATGTGGCTGCTTCTGAGACAACATCGCCATCGATGTAAGGTAGGAGTGGCATATCCATTGGAATCTTTTCAACAAGTTCCTCCGGGCTCATGGCGATAAGACTATTGATACGTTCGTGGGTCGAAAGGTGCGTGAGGCCTAGTTTTTGCACGATGGCGTTATATGATCTTTCAGCAACAGACGGTGATAGTGGCTTGAGCATGATCGGTGTTCCCGACATGCTTATCGCACGTCTGAACAACGGCTCTTTGGAGCTCAATTGATGCAAAACCGAGACTGTTTGCCTGGTTAGCTCTGTTACAGCCCACTGAAGTACCACAAAAGTGGACAACAAAGGAAACAACAACATACCAGCACCAGCGCTCTCACCAAATAAGGTAACGTTATCCGCGTCACCTCCGAATGCACCGATGTGCTTTCTAACCCACTGCAACGCACATCTTTGATCCCTCAAACTGTTATTCCCAGGGTATCCAGCTTTCCTCAATTCCTCGCTCGTCAGGTTTCCTGGGGCACCTAGACGGTAGTTCACGTTGACGACGATAACTGGGGTGCCAAGGTTTGCGCTCATTCTGACTAGACGCGCTGGATCGTACTGCGGCCAGGAGTTTGCGCCCATGATGAATCCACCGCCATGTACGAAGACCATCACCGGGATGGCAATACTCATACCACTGGGAAGGGATGGAGCAGTAATGTTGAGGTTGAGGCACTCAGTGCTGGACATGGGAATCTCAGGGCCAGTGCCGATAGCACATTGGATCAGGGTAGACTGTTCGAATGCGCAACCGTCCATTGCTGGCGCACGAGGTCTAGTGTTGTAAGTACGCTACTTGAAGGATGAGATGAGTGGAACAGAAGTGACTTACCCGAACTCTGTAGCATCAACCATTCTCTCCCCATACTCAGCAACAAGCTCAGGCACTGCAAGCCAATCCCCCACCTTGCCATACTTGATCCCCAGATATCTTTTCAAGCCCTGCTCTTCTCTGCCAACACAGGAAATGAGAGGCGTTACAAGTGTAGTCTTTATCCATTCCTCTTCAGTACAAGCCCGCAGGCCACTTGACAAAACATGAGGAAACATATTGTTGAGTATATTTCACTACCATACCTTCCATCTTATATTCCCTTCTATTCACTGTGAACCAGGCGCCAACTAGTGCCTTTACCAGATGCAGCATATACCGAGTAAGCACGCACAGACCAACAGAGACGAAGGAGGCGGATACTCCAAGCTAAGCGAAGTCCTCCAGGCTGAATGCAGCAAAGTAGACACGTGACATCGGCCGAAACCCATAGGATTTATATGACAAGAGTCTACGCTATGACCCTTGTCACGTGTACCTGAGATAGTGTTGAGGGTACCGCGTTCATAACCCTTGGCAGTCTGGACAATACTTTAACTACTTTGGGCGTTGTGGAGTGGAACTGCGGGCCTGAGAGCGGGAATAGCGACATGTCATGCTAAGAAGAGTTTGGTAGACTTGTCATGTCGACCGAACGGTTATACTTCGTATGTACGCTTGTGACAGTAACGAGAAGGCGTCAGGGTCGAACACGCTCCATGCATCTCAGCATTTTCATGCTAGATCTCTATCTTTCGTTGCCGTTTCTCCGTTATTTTCGGAACAAACTAGTCAGGACCGAATTGGGGAACGGATTTCAGAGGTGCGGTATTGTGCATTTGGCATGCTCATCCTTCGATCCTGCCAAAACGCGCGTCTTGGCTACTGAGCCACATCATTGTTGAGTACACCAGATACATAACGCGCTGCTGATGTTATGTTTGAGAACGTCAGTGAACTGGGTACTGAATCCGTTTCATTGTCTCTCTGAGAACCTTGTGATAGAAGCTCCTATTCTCTGATTACCTACAACACACTAGCTCTTGACGTCAATGCTCTTAACCAATTCCCCACCTAGTCGCTTAATCTCATGCACAATGACCTCTGAATTTACTTTGATCTCAACGGTATCCTTCTTTCCAGTGACTGGCACGCTGTTCCATCCAGCTTTGATCTTCCAACCTCTCTGTGCGGTGGCTATCGGATTCCATAATCCGACAATTTTGTCCAGTGTCTCCGGGTCCCAGAACCATAACACAGCATCGCCATAGACATCTAACAGATCTTGTGCAAAAAGCTGTGGAAGTGGTGTTGCGGCCGGCGATAAACTTGATGTTGCCTTTTGAAGGTCGAGATTCTTGAATTTGGGTGTGCTCTTGGTAGATTTTGTTGGTCTGAGAGTGTACTTTGATGATACAGTTATGACTATATCGAAGTCGGAGACACCAGGCGTGAAGAGCAATCCTGGGTTCAGAGCCTCTTGCATCTTAGCAGCATCTATGTTGTTGATGTGCACCAGCAGACGTTCTTCGTCCGCACGAACAGCCTGTGTAGCGGCCTTCGCCAATGCGGTCAAGCGCGCAGCAACGACCTTCTCGGGCTTTGCTTTGTTTGTCCAAGTTGTACCCTCTTCGTCTAGATTGGTCGCAGCGAAGAGCACGACGCGGTTCATAGCGGGATCTATGCGACGCCACGCTTCGAATCGTGTCCGCAACCGGTCGAGATCTTCAGACTTCATGCCTTTGGATGTGGTGTCCTCCAGATCTGCAGGATTTGCAGAGAATGTTGTTGAGAAGTCTACAATGAGCGGGACATGTCTCCAGTCCCATCGACTGATCCATGACAATGTTCGTAGGAAACCGGTGGTTGCGGTTGAAGGTACGGGCCAAGGGTATGGTTGTAGGAACGTGCGAATGACGAGAAGCTCAATAAGTTCAGGTGAAAAGTGTGGGGCGAGGAGGTGCGACGCGAACCACTTCTTCGTCAACCGTATCGCTGGGGAAAGGGCTAGGAATCGGGTACATAGGGTTTGTAGGACTTGCGAATGTAGAGGCGCCTGTACGAACTCGCGCTTGTACAATGCCAGGGATG